CCCATTGCAAGGGGGAAAAGACGCAGATATGGGTCCAGGTCTGACGGAAGAGGAAGATGCACTACTCAGGGGGACCCATGGAGCTGTCGTTGGAGCGGGACCTGACGCAACAGAGGCCCAGTGTATCCGTACGCTATCCCCGGCCGTAAAGGAGATCGCGCTTCGGGGAGCGTCGGCGAATCGGGTACCTTGTCCAGGTTGCGGAGCGTGACCACCAGGCGGTAAACAGGGCAGGCAGTGTGAGGCTTTGGCTTTGCTCACGGTGAGAGCGGCGTCGGGATGCTTGCCTGGGACTTACCTAGGAGACAGGCGACAGAATAATAGTACACGCGGCGCTTGTGGCCGCTTTCAACCAGGGATCGCCGGGACACCAAGTCGACGACACCTACCTACTTACGACTACCGTCAGAGGTATGACCCGAGGGAATGGGGATCGCGGTGGGGACCTCGAGCTGTCATGGTCTTGCAGCAGGCAGGCGGGCTCCGGGTTTTCTGATTGAGGGCTGATCATCCGGCCCAACCTGCCCCGCTGCAGCTGCGCAGTGTGTCTTCTGTCTGCCCAGAGCAGAAGACAGGTACCCACTCGAGATTAGATTGAACTACCTACCTTAGCTACCTACACAATACCTGCATACATCTTCTCAGCTTCCTTCCTCTTGCGTATCCCATGCGTTGTTGATCACCCATTCACCGACGGTGAGCCAAGAGAAACCTCAATGCCCGCCGCAGCCTTGCCGACCTTTGGAGCGTCACATCTTTCATCGTTACGACCTGCCCTGGCCTGCCTTTACCTCGAAGCTCTTGGAGATGAAGAGTAATCAGTAATTTGCAACCTCGGTGCACATTCCCTCATCCCTGTTCCCCAGCTCTTGGTCTGAGCCTCCCAACTCACCGACTGCCTTTGCCGCAGTTTGACGTCGTGAGGGTGCTGCTTACGAAGGACATCGTCATCTTCACCGTTCCCGCCCAAGAGCCGACTTCACGTTGCACAAAGTTTCTTCCTCAACTCAGCCTTACGGCAAGCCATCATCTTTCCGTCTCACTGACCACCCTCCCTTAGCAAAGCCCTTACGGAAAGTACACCACCACCACTGCGAGGACGATGATTCAGCTTCAAAAAAAGGTGCACGTCTCACAACGGGCAGATTGTTCGCTTCCCCGGCCGCTCGCTCATCGACATTCGTCAGTGAGAGCTCATACCAACTGACCCGACGGATGCGAGGTGTCATCATCCTCCTTTCTTTTCCAGCAGCCTTTTTGGCCTTGGCACGCCGTGTTCCCGCCCGTCTGCCCTCGCAGCCCCTCAACCGTGCTCACCGATCTTGTGATCACCGCCATCCGCCTTCCAATCGGGACAACCCTCGGGTCATCGAAGCCCGGCTTTCCCTTTCAGTCCGTCCACGACCTATGTTTCCGGGGAGAGTCTCGCCTTCACCACTCATCGCCCACGGAGGCCAAGTTCCAGGGCCTGCCATTTGTGAGATTGACACGACGCCTGAGGTAGGCGGCTGCTAGTGCTGAAATCCTGGGGGCGGCTGACTTGTCCCGTGTCACTCCGAGTGATGAGACCTGCAGCGCTGACCTTGTGCTTCTGTATGGGCACAACATCTGAAGTTTTCAGGGATATGTTCATTTCAGTCTGTCAAAGTGCACCGTCTCCTCCACTGCGGGGCGTGAGTTTGCTTCCACGCCGCAGCTGTGGCGATGATGTTGTTCGGTGACGACGACGACAACGACGACACACCGGCCAGGTTCCATCGGGCCCTGTTCTCATGCACCGGCCTTGGACCTTTCCCCTCACTCACGGCTTGTCACATATCCCCAGCTGCTCTATCCCTGCTCTGACTGATCGGAAGCGTTAGTCCTTACCAAGTAGTCAATTGCCGAAGTCGATGGTAGCGCTCGAATGACCCCATGATCAACGAGGACGGGTAGATCAAGCAGATCAAAATCCGCACCGTCATCGTCATGACATGTCGGCGCGCAGGGATTCCTCTCAGACGGGGCACAGCTATACCATGGTTTCTGAAGGGGGGCGCACCGCAGCGGGCATTTACGATGCGCAACATACGAAATCACTGTGCCTTTCCTGTCTCACAAGACCTCCACCGATTCCTCTCCATCTGCGCCTACCGCTGGCACTTTTTCTCAGCTGCCTGATCACTGGACTTGTCAGCTTATCTGAGAGGTGACGAGGGAAGACCGCCATGTGGCTGGGGAAATGCCGAGACCCCCCGTCGAGGCGTTTTGGTTGGAGGCTTGAAATCCACTCGTATTGATTGTTGAGTTGTCCTCTTACGGGTAGGTTATCCGTGTTCTATTGGTGGTAGAGAAAGTTTACAAAGGAGGATGGCACCGATAAGAGCTCAAATGCCGCGTTGGAGGTTTTCGTCGTGAGGATAGCGTGATACTGAGCCCTTGCGACGCCTCTGAGTCCCGGATACCAAGTTTGTTGCTAAGGGAACTTATATTTACTTGACAATTCAGTCAGTCTAGATCCAAAATCTCAAGCTTGAGGGTCAGAAGAAGAAGTGAGGTAAAGTTAAGGCCAAGCTGAAGAGGATTATCATCTAAACAGACACCAACCCTGATATAGCATGATGTGTGAAATGTCTCGTTCTAGTACGTAGACAACTGATTGAGATACAATAGATGAATGTTGTTTCTATTGTTGTTCCTACTGTCGTCCTTCCTGTTGTCCCTGCCCCTCATCTCTGTTCCTCGTCCCTGCTCGTCGCCCCTGCTCGTTGTCCCTGCCAGTCTTTGTGCACTTCTGTCTATACCTTCAGCTAGTAGTGGCATTAGGAATTCCGGTCTAAAGCTACCGGAAGACATAAGAATCATACTTAGAGTAGTATTTATGGATCGGCGTATATTAGAGAAAGCTACTCTTCCAGAAGCAATGCGGAAGAGAGATGGTCTAATTTCATGCAAAGGGTATGTAGCATGATGGCTCTAAAACTTTTTGCAATTTGATTCCACGGGTTCTAGATGTTCATATGTTTTAACGCATCTACCTTGATAGGAGTTCGGAGTATAAGATTGATTGAAAGACAGAATGATGGTCCAAAGACAGTTGCGAAGGCCTCAATTATCCACCCAGACGCAAGTCCTCGAATCCCACAGTAGCAAACACCCGTTTGAGTCTAAAAGATTTCCGCATTCACTTGTTGAATAGAAAGCTAACAGTAATCCCAGCCCACTCAGAGGCGCCTTCACTATGTCATCGTCATCCCACGTTGTTCTCACGCGTTGTAGTGCTAGCCCAGTCAAAGAAATCGTGATATCGTCTTGAGAACGACCGGCGAATCGAGATATGTTGGCGGCAGAAGTACAAAGCTGCTAAGACTGCTTCTTTCTGTTCTTATCGACAGTCTCGCCGGCCTTTTTTGCGGCATGATTCGTGAGAACACCAGGGAGAGAGTTCGTCGCGAAGCGGAATAAGATATCAGCGTCGGCGGTGTAGGACCACGAGAGGAGAAGGACCAGTGTCAGGGCGATGGTGACGTGGCACCTCATCTTGGGCATGTGTGGAAGGCTTAGCAGATGGTATTCTGTGGTCGAAAACAAAGAGCGGGTGAATCTAGGCAGAGTGCGAGTTTGTTTGTAAAGATGAGATTTGAGACGGATTACAGAGGGGAGACCGCTCTGAAGGTGGCGGTTGCAGAGGCCACTGATGTGTAATTGTAAAAACTTCGGTATCTTGAGGGAGCTTACCTCTAATGACTCGCGATCTCTTTATATACCCCTTATATCAGCCATAGAGGTTTCTCTCCTATTCCATATCCCCTATAAGTATCTCCGTTAGAGTTATATAGAAGTCAATAATTTATACCTGCAGGCGGTAACCTGCTGTACGAAAGTATGCACATAGTTTACGAAGGCTTTCTATAGTGAATCCAAACCGCCAATAGCCCCAGTTCAGCATTCAAATAATCAAATCACATATGAAGTAATGGCTTTCTCCGACAGGTAGATGGCGTTGAGGTTCAGTATGATCACTACTGGCTGAGATGGCAGATGCACGTGTAGTGGAGGACATCATCGTGAGAGCAAGATCTGGTTCTATACTTGTAGGTATGGCTGATTGAGATGCAAGGACAAAGCTTCCGCATTTATAAAAGCCATCAACGACAATGAAAATTGTCGACGAATGATGTCCCCACGTGTATCAAGTCTAAAAACGCCTTCCGATTGAGGGTTTCGACATGCATGCAATGTAAGTATGCGTGGAATATGCACAACCCCGATATATAGAACTACGAACGCATCGCTGAATGATCTCTTAAGAGTCTCCACGCTCTACACTTTCCTAGCAATCACATTATCGTAACGTAGTTTTCAGGATACGTTAATGAGACGCCATTGTTTCACCTCGTCTCATCCGCTGGTGTGAAAACAAACCACGCACTCCTGTCTCTGCTGTCCTCGCCGTCCTCGCCGTCCTCCTTGCTGTCACTGTCATTGCTGTGCCCGTTCTTACTGTCATCCACGTTGCTATCCTTGTTATCGTTCTTGTTATCGTTCTTGTTGCCATTCTTGTCGTTCCAGTTCGTACACAAGATTACATCTTTCCCATTGGCCGAAAGAGCTCAACCCAAAAGAGTCCACCAGAGAGACCCATACAAAAACCCTGGCTTCATCTGACTACTAATGCTTGTCTCTAACGTCCACGGCCTTTCTGTGTATAATGAATGATACAGAAGCCTGTAGTTTCTTAAGTTATACCTTTCAAAATTTCGCATGTTCTCAAAAGTCCTGACATCTGGTCGGAGTAGAACGTCACCTCTATTACTGAAATCATCCCTAACGTTATTGTTATTCCTACTATCTTCATTATATATATATTTTCTATACCTATTACCTCCTCCTGCCATGCCATCACCCTATTTCTATTAACTTCGTGCGGTATGAAGACGCAGGCCAACGATTGAAGGAGCAAAAACGGACAACCGCATCACTTGATGAGCGTGAGCAACGGAATAAAGAGACAAAAAGAACTCCTCGACGGGGAATTGAACCCCGGTCCCCGGCGCATTGTTTGCAATGACAAGCCGATATCCTCACCACTAGACTATCGAGGACTGATGATATCAGAGCAAGGTAAGGTGGATATGAAGCTAGGTGACGATCCCCACTTAGGGTTGACTCAGTGGCGGCTGGCGGCTACAGTAGTGTGGTCGGGCACGACAAGCCTAGAAATTTTGCTGAGATGGCAAATTATTCAGCGGCTCATAGTTGGATTATGCGTTTTATTCTCTAACGTACTGGCGTTCTGATGTTGTAATTGGTGTTTAGTGACATGCGCCGTTGCGAATCACAGTGGGTTCGCCTATGGAGCGAGTCGGCTTAGAGATATGGCCTACATAGACTCACAAAAGAGCCTTTGCCTTTCATTGCGCCAAATGCACACTACTGAGAACTGACGGGCCTACTTGCGATGCCATCGTAATGTCAAACGAATAATATGAACGTTTCGCGCATCATGCTTTCAAACGGGATTAGGTGGATCGAGTTCAATAGCGTTCATATCAGTCTCAAACAAGACCGCAATTCATAGAGGCACGATCGTAAAACACAACAGTTTAGGTAGTGAGTGTCTGGGGACGACGAGGGACGACGAGGGACAACAAGGGATGATGAGGGATAACGAGGGACGACAAGAATACTAATAATGAGGATGATGGGAATGAGGATGATGATAATGAGGAGGAGGATGAGGATCAGTAATCCAAACTACTTGACGCGAAGTTTATAGCCCCCGCCGGTGAGCAGTAGAAAATCCTGAAATATCAAGCAAACTTTTGCCTTCTATTGCGCCAAACTCTATGAAAATGCTTTCCGTTTATGATCGCTTATTATATGATGCATGCTTTTGTTTTCCTGTCCCATTTCCAAATCAGAAACGCCTCACTGCCTGTAAATGGCGTCCGCCATCTTGGCCACCTGACACATCTCAACGGCATCGTGGACTCTCACAATATCCGCGCCGCCCTGAACCGCCGAGACGACGGTGGCCGCCGTACCCCAGATACGTTCCTGAGGACTTACGACTCCAAGGACCTTGCCGATGAAGGTCTTGCGGCTGGAGCCAATCAGCCACGGCAGACCCTCGAGACCAGGCCAAGCGCGAAGCTCGTCCATGTGGCGCAGGATCTCGAGGTTCTGAGGGGCCGTCTTCGCAAAACCCAAGCCGGGATCGAGAATGATGCGCCAGCGGCGCACTCCGGCGGCTTCGGCTTCAGCGACTCGGTCGAGCAGCTCGCGAGCCATGGTAGGAATGATCCCGTCAGGGTAGTCCGTCAGAGATTGCATGGTCCGTGGCGTGCCACGCATATGCATGAGACACACGGTACGGTTACTGCGTGCCATATAGGGCAGCATGTCCGGGTCGAGCTGGCCGGCCGAGACGTCGTTGATAATGTCGGCACCGGCAGCAACGGCGGCCTCGGCAACAGAAGCGCGCCACGTGTCTACGCTGACGGCAAGGTGGGATAGCTCGGGGAGGCTGCGGACGAGCTTGATGACAGGGAGAACACGGGATATCTCTTCCTCGGCCGAGACGTCGGGCCGACCCGGAGACGTGGAGGCGCCGCCAATGTCGATCATGGTGGCGCCGGCTTTCGCAAAAGACTGCAGTGTTGAGATGAGGTTGTCAGGAGTGTGGACACCGCCGTCAGAGAAGGAGTCTGGGGTGGCGTTGATGATTGCCATGACATGAGTTTTGCGGGTAGGCGTGAGTGTCACAAGGGCTTGTTGGCCGGCGGAGATGGGAGTCAAGGGCGAAAGGGGTGCTGCTGCAGGTGGCAGCTCATTGAGGTAGTCGAGGGTGAGTTTCCACGGATTTGATGCGTAGAGGGGCTTATGAGGGATGAGTCTGGGTGAGTGTCAGTCACAGTCGGTGAGTTGATACTCAAAATGAACTCACTCTGCGAGAGGTCGCAGGACAAACTCCCGCTCAGGGATACCGATGTGGGGAACATTGAGACGCGGATGCTCAATCTTCTCATCGCCATACATGAGGATGTCAAGATCGATATTTCGCGGGCCCTTGTCGATCAGCTTTTGGCGACCCAGAGTGCGCTCAATGTCCTGCAGTTCATCAAGAAGGGCCAGGGGTTCCAGGTCAGTCACAACCTGCAGACCATCCGATCAGCTCAGCTCGGCTCAGCTCAAACTCAATTACACAAAACGGGCCCATGCAGGATGACGGTGCCACAGTGAAGAAAAAAAAGTTTTATCCGAAAGCGAGAAGGGAGGATGACACTAACCTCGCATGCGCCGTTGACGAATCTATCCTGGTCTAATACATACATAGGCTCCGTCTCCCAGAGGCTGCTTGTACGCTTCACTTTGATGCCTCGACGGTCCATCTCGGCGCAGGCCTTCTCGATCCAGCCGACGCGGTCGCCGAGATTGCTGCCGAGGGCGATGTAGGCTGTCGTCGGGCCCCTCGGGCGCTCGACACGCTTGCCGCCGCATCCACCGCCGCAGCAGGCGGACCGGGTCTGGACGGCGGGCATGTTCGGCGACGGAGTCCGGATGGTAGGCCGGGCACGGGAGCGGGAGAGTGCGGCAGGGGTTGTGGAGGCTGGCGAGGATGATGATGTGCAGCGGGAGGGGCGGCGCACGGAGGAGCCGGTGGTGTAGCAGTTTCTTGGTATCGTGACCTGTTCCCGGACAAGTCGAGGCGTTAGGGCCTGACAGCGATGCGCATTGCTGCTGCGTGCTAGGGCGCAAGCTCGCGAAAAAAGGGAGGGGTGGCGGAGAGGAATTGGGGGTTTCATCATGGCAAAACGTGAAGGCGCCCACCGATGGTGTGTGTTTGTGTGGTGAGGGTCGTTAGTCGTGATGGGAGAATCCTGCAGCCAATGAAAACGAAGCGCGGTGGTCCCTTGGAATTGAAGGCTTAGGTAAGTGAGGCGTGGGCTTCTTTGAGTCGTGCGTTCCACCTCAGTCTTCAGGGTCCTCGTTCAGGATTGATAGGCTGCTAAGCATTCACGATGTTAGGCCTGGTGGAGGTCGACACGCAGCGGTCCGTCGTCGACAGAACCCACTGTCTTATCGTTATCGTCGCGGTCCGGAATCCGAGCATTTCGCTCAGCTTCAATCCTCGCTGTGGTTACACCGGACTCCAGCAGTCGAAGTCTGATCATGTCATGATTCAAAGAAAGTTTGCGACCTCATTTCCAAACGTTCTGGAACGGAAAGCAAGCGCCTGTCGACTCGGGGCCCGCTGTCAGCCACTGTCACCCCTTGTTTGGAGAGGCGACCGTGGCCCAAAGAGAATGCGAAGGATGAAGCCCTCAGATCTGAGAACTGAGCCTCGCCTCCAGACCAAGATCTACCCATTCCCGACATGCAAGCCCGTGATGAATCACCTCACTCCGCAATGTGCAACCCCCCAGTTATGCCTTGCCTTGCAGCAACTTGTGAATTGTCCCCTCTTGTGTTTGGCCCTCGGCATCTTTTCCCCAGATCCACCCCGCCGGGCTTATCCACCCTGGCGCGCTACGCCCGGATAGGCTTAGTGGCTGAGGTCACAGGTAAACCTCGGCAGACCATGGGCGCATGGCAACGCACTCCGCCCCTTCTTCCCCAGGAAACCAGCTGTTTGAAGCCGAACGCTACTCCCGCCGAGCCTCTTTAAACCGCCGATTGCCAGCTCCTCTCCTCCTTGCAATAACACCGTTTCCTTCTCTCATCCACAAACTCTGTAATCCAGCCCAGTCTCCTTTTCTCTGTACGATTTGCGATCTAGTATACCCAGACTCGAAGTATCATACCACAACTAGCACATCAGTCAACATGGCTTCTCCTCGTAAGTTGTTCAGCCCAGGCTCTCCTGTCACATGCGCCAGGTGAAATAGTGTGCTGACACGTCGCGCAAAACAGAGCAGATTCGCACTCCCATCACTGATCTTTTCAAGATCAAGCACCCAATCCTGCTTGCAGGCATGAACGTCGCCGCTGGTCCCAAGTTGGCTGCCGCTGTTACCAACGCCGGAGGTCTCGGTGTCATTGGTGGTGTCGGATACACCCCAGACATGCTGAAGGAGCAAATCGCCGAGCTCAAGGAGTACCTCGTCGACAAGAACGCACCTTTCGGTGTTGACCTGCTTCTTCCCCAAGTCGGCGGCAGCGCCCGCAAGACCAAGTAAGAAATCATCCCCACGCCGGAGGAGCCGCGCGCGTCACATGTGAATGCCTTTGTGCTGACCGTATCCACTTAGCTACGACTACACCAAGGGCAAGCTTGGCGAGCTCGTCGACATTATTATCGAGTCCGGCGCTAAGCTTTTCGTCTCCGCCGTCGGTGTCCCCCCCAAGGCTGTTGTCGATAAGCTTCATGCCAATGGCATTGTCTACATGAACATGATCGGCCACCCCAAGCACGTCCAGAAGTGCCTCGACCTCGGCGTCGACATCATCTGCGCTCAGGGTGGTGAGGGTGGTGGTCACACCGGAGATGTCCCTACTACCGTCCTCATTCCCGCTGTTGTCGACCTCTGCAAGGGTCACAAGAGCCCTGTCACTGGCGGCCCCGTTCAGGTCATCGCCGCTGGCGGCATTCACAACGGTCAATTGCTGGCCGCTGCCCTGATGATGGGCGCCGGCGCCGTCTGGGTCGGAACCCGCTTCATTCTTACTGACGAGGCCGGCGCCCCCAACGCCCACAAGGAGGCCGTCCGCACTGCCGGCCACGACGACAACATCAAGACCCTCATCTTCACCGGTCGCCCCCTGCGTGTACGCAAGAACCCGTACATTGAAAACTGGGAGACGGAGCGTCAGCAGGAGATCAAGGAGCTCACCGCCAAGGGTGTTATCCCGTACGAGGCCGACCTTGAGAAGCTGATGAACTCTGGCGGTGACGGTGAGGGTAGCGGCAGCGGCAGCGACGACAACGCGTCCGAGGTCGATATCGACGATGCCCTGGACCAGTTCCGCCCCTTCCTCATGGGCAAGGCCGCTGCTGTCTGCAACGAGCAGAAGCCCGCCAAGGCTGTTGTTGACGAGTTTGTCAACGATGCCGTCGCATGGCTCCAGAGGGGCAACAAGATGATTGCCAAGTTGTAAAATC